TTAAGACGCCTCCTCTACTTTCGCCTGTAGCTCGGCCAGCTTTTCCTCAACACGACTCTTCTTCCGTGACAACTCCTCCCGCCGCATATCTCGATTCATTTCCTTGCCAATTCTTTTAACATCCTGCATAGAAAATGTATCCCCTGCTTTGAGTGCTCGAGCCGAAGACACTCTTTCAACATTTTGATTTATTGCCTTTGTGATCCGAGCTTGCTCCAGGGCCATGCCCCGCCGCTGAATATTTTTTGGTAACTGGGTGGGGTCTGTCGATGGTGTAGAATGAAAACATGAGTGGACCTCGCAGAAGCCAACGACGCGGCGCAGGAAAGACATAAGTCACAGTATGAAACGCTTCTAGAATAAACTTCCTGGCACACCACATGTTAAGCCTAGCTCTTGATTTTCATAGGACAGGCGCTACATCAAGAAAATGAAACAACAAGTTTACTTACTTCCTTTCTTTGCTGCCGTCCGTTTGCTGCTAGCTTTGGCATGAGCTTTTTTACTTTTCTGAGAAAAACCCTTCTTGCTCAGCTTCGCGAGGCCTTGCGCCATCAAATTATGGTCGTCTATAGATATTTTGGTACCTTACGATACTTGTGAAGCGGTCCTCGTTAAGTGCCAGGGCACAGTGTACAATACAGTACGTATGGAGTATCCTCCGCAGGGCTGTTGCCTACCCTTACCCTCCGCTTTCTTTCAGCTACAGGTACACAATGCCCCCGAACGTACGGCCTGGTGCAAGAATGGTACCAGTATGAGACAGTGATTTAGCACTGCTTTGGAATAAGCTCAACTCACCGCTCTGGGTCTTGTGACAGACTCCTCGCTCGCTCACCACGATATCGCCTACACCGGAGTATATCGCCTCCTCTGTTCAGGAAGAAATAGAACGCTCAGGTATGCCCGTGGCCTGCCAATTCGCTAACTGTGGAAGCACAAATTCTATGCACAGGCGGGTCATGGATACAGGAAGGGGGGCCGACGGTAATCCCACGGGAGGTGACACGAAGCCAGTGCTTCTTCCTCCCGTAGCATCAAAAAAGAGCCCAGCGGGTCAGCAACCCTTTCCCAAATTGAAAGTAACGACACCGGCGACGTCGACCCCGCAAGACACCCCGTTGCGACTATCAATGTCTAGCGATGCAGTACAGGACTCTAAAAGAGATGTGCCCATTGCAGCCGGAAAGAAATCGTTGTCAAGCCTGTCGGAGAAAGTCTCATTACCAGAGGCGGCGTCAGGAACAGGAATAGCGTTGGTAGACAAATACAAGGCCAATGTAGACGATGCCAGCAAGAAGCGAGGACTACCGGCACTAAGAATTGGCAGTATCGAAGCAGGGAGAGCAGCTACGGAGGACAAGAAGAAAAAGATCAAGTTGGTGGCCCAGGCGGGTAAATCCGGGAGTCAACCAATAGTTCCGGCCTTACATCTCAAGAACATTGCACCTGGAAATTCGTCGGGAACCGCCAGTGTACCAACAATATTGAGTGGTAGAGAATCAGTGAAATCACGCCCTGTAGTCATTAGCACGGACTCCGAGGCTGCACCCGTTCCGGCTCTGCATGTGACAGCCTCTGCGCACATTCCAACTCCCTGCCCATTTCCACCCGTGTCAGCGCCGTCGCAGGCGGCCGTGGTCGCGTCTTCCCCTGTAAACGACCGAAGCAGCCCCGCAATGGCCCCGCTGCCGCCTCCGTCACCCTCCTCGGCGCCGATGGCGGGATCGTCCGACCCGGCGCTCCACGAGGAAGCGACTCCAGTACCCGCCATCCCCGACGTGGCCAGCCATGTCAAAGTGCAGCCGGTAGGCTCCCCAAAAAGCAAGGAGCTGGTGCCTGCGCGAGGGCCTCCCGTTGGCAACGCGGCTGGCCGCATGCTTATCAAGCGCGGCCTGCGTGCAGGGGACCCACGGGCGTTCATCCAACGCTTTCAGGAGGAAAACGGTCTCCGGGGGATCCCGGAGGCACGCCCCGCCCTGCAGTTGCTCGATGTCCTGGGAGTTTCCCGCCTGCAGGTCTACCGACACCTGCTGGCGGACCTCCGGGCCCGGCTGGTGGACCGGCTCGACCGGTGTCAAGACCAGGCCCAGCTCGAGCGCCTCCTCGCCCACTCCTTCGGCTATTTGACCGTCCCTGAACTCCGCACCGTCCCCGAGCGGATCATTACCAAGTTGCGCCGGATTCCGTCCCGGATTTTGGATCGTCTGGCCGCGCGCCCCGGGCTTCTGGAGGAATTGCCGATGCGAGTCAAGCAGCAGGTCTGGGAAGCCCATCCGGCCTTATTCCGGCGGGGGCTGGGCGCGATCCTGGAAGAATACGTCCGGCATCGGGCCTCGGTGATGATGCCTGCCTACGACGTGGTTGCCCTGCTCTCTTTGTCCTCCACTCCCTCCCCTTCCGCCGCGGGCGCTCCGGGCAAGGAGGTGTCACCCAGCAAACGCCGCCAAGAGAACCCTTGTCTCGCCCACCTCGTGGCCTGCGTGAACACCGAGGATGACTCCAAGCTGGATCAAGTCGCCTCACACTTTATAATCGACGAATATGTTTCCAAGGGGGACCCTACGCTTTGTACGCTCTTCGCCGACTTTCAAGTCCAGCTCGCGCACGTTCGGTCGGGGCGGGCCGCCGTCATCAGCCGGCTCACCCACTTGGCCCGGGCCCTGGAGGAGTGGGTAAAAGCGGGACGCGTGGAGGCCAAGGCACTGGCCCAGGTGCAGGTACACTTGCGGGCGATGTTGTCAAGCTCCGGCACAGGGGCTGGGCGGGGCGTTACCCCTATGTCGCTCTCTTCGAAGAAGGAGAAAAAGAGGAAAGAGGCCGACATTACGAGCAGCGGCTTGACACTGAAGTTGCCTCGTGCTGCGCTCTCTACTCCAGTCGCCGACAAGTCATGGGCGAAAATTCCAACGTTGGAGCAGGCATTAGAGGAAGGGATGGGGTATCTACTGAAGCTGGACGCACCGACCCGCTGGTTCGCCAAGCCGGTATTGGAACTGTGGCCTCAGATTCAGGAGGCGTATTTGGCCGTCGTGCCTCACCCAATGGATCTGGAAAGCATGCGCAAACGGGTCAAGGCGTCTGTCGGAGGGGTTGGGGAAAAAGAAAGGGGAGGGACGGCGGGGTATTCGACATTTGCCGCTTTCGACAGTGACGCGGAGCGTGTCTTTGATAACTGTATGGCGTTCAATCCTCCGGGGAGTGCCTTCCACTCAGGAGCGGAGCGAATGAAGAAAGCCTGGGGGAAATTCAAGGTTAAATTTGAGAAAACAGACGTGAAAAGGGCCATGGATCGAAAGAAAGGCGCGGTGGGTGCGGGGGGGCTGGGCGACGGGAGCGGGCTCGTCACCAAGGCCACCACATCCACCTTTGTGGGTGCGGGGGACGAGGCAGAGCTCCTTTCGGCGGCTGGAAGAGGCACGGACAAGGCGCGGGATCCCACGGTTCCGGAAGCGTTGCCTGGTAGGCCCCGGGTGGAGGCCCCAACGTGGGGGCATGCCTTGATGCTCCTGGCCGACCCCTGCGTGTTGCAGGTGCTGGGCAAGACCCTCAAACAGGAGTTAGACGAGGTCTTCCGGTCGCAGGGTCTCCCCAAGGATCATCCGCGGGTTCCCTCCCTCCTTCAACTTCTTTACCTTGGGCTAGACGCTCGGCGGCAATTGGCTCTGGTGCGGCTGAAAACCAAGGCAGGCGTTCCCCCGCCTCCCCCCCCGACAGAACCCCTGCACAAAAAGGGAAACAAGAAGGGTAAGACCGCTCCTTCCCCTCCCGAACTTCCTCCCTGCTTCTCAATTCCGGACGCAAGAGTCTCTTTTTGGGGTTTTGGAGACAAAGAGGGGGAGCCGGCAGCGGAGAATGATGTGCAAGAAGCAGTCCGGACTGTGTTGCCCAGCCTCTTGGAGGTCAACGCGTACGTAAAAGTGGCGAACAAATACGCCACAGCGACGGATGGATGGGAAGGGCAGCCGCACGATAAAGATGAGATTGAAGGGAAGATGTTGGAGAGCGTGGGGCGTTTGTACCGGGCGTGCAAGGCAAGGCAGCCTTCTCCCTTGCTCTTGTGCGTGCTCACACATGCTCTCTGTCACAGCCTGGCTACTGGGGACGATGATCGGACGACGCCCTTGGCCAAGACGCTGGCCGCCTTGCTGGATCACTTGAACCGGAAGAGAAGGAGCGAGATGACGTTGGCGCTCCCAGACATGCAGGACCGCGCCCTGTGGATCGGCTTGGCGAGTGCCGGGCTCTTGCGGGTCCCGAAAAAGAAAAACAAGGCGGCATTGGCAGGAGAGAAGGCGAATCGGGCCGGCGCCACGCGGGCTGGACCTGTGGGCGCGGGGATGCCTGCTGTAGGCGGTGCTGGCGTGGGTGCCGACAGGAAGGCGCACGCGACGGCCTCCACGTCGGCCTCGGCTCGTCCACCCTTGGAGCCAGAGCTTAGGGACCTGATTTTGGGTATTTTTGTAAACCAGCTGCCCTTTGCTTGTTCACCTCGATCTATTTCCTTTTGCCACGAGCAGGTGCTGCGCTTACTTTTAGGGTGGATGGCGCGGGGGGCTTTGGAACCGCCGAAGGGAAAAGAAGGCAGGGAGGAGGGGAAGGATGGAATAGGGAAGCGGACGGTCAGGAATTGGGTGGAGGGGATCGTGCAGGGTGTAGGCGGCCACAAGGCGATGTGGGAGGTGTGGGAGAAGGAGGAGTTCAAGTGCCTGCGCAGGCAGTACGAGAGGCTGTTCGAGGCGACGCCCTGGGCCCGCGGCGTAGTCTTGGGCGAAGGAGGGGCCGGAGTGGTGTCCGAGAGCGCAGGCCCGGATGGAGTCCGGGCAAATGAAAGCGAACAGCAAAAGAAGATGGAGCCTCTGGGAGGAAAAGCAGCAGATGACAAGTGACTAGAAGAGCTGGCAGCGTAGGCCTCGTCCCTTCCCTTCGGAAGGAAAATCATTCAAATAATCCATAAAGCAGCTAGCACAGACCTTTCTCGCTCTCAGGGAGAGATTTGATGGTGCCAATGTGATTAATTTTCACAAGCTTTCGGTTCTTTGCTCTCCTCTGCGCTTTCCAAGCCCCCTATCCCCACCACGCCAGCATGCCCAGACCATCCTCGTTCGTTGTACCCAGCAACTGCATAGGTGGCAAAGGGCCCCCGACACTTTCGTCTCCCGTCAACGTGTCGCTGCGCGGACGTCGAACTTGCCCTAACCCCCCTCCCTCTACCTCTACCTTCGGATTCACAGGATTGCCTACCGTTCCTACGGGCCCTGTCGCCACATTGCCGAGGCCCCCGACCGCCCCACTCCCACCACTGCCGCTGTATTTGGTATGTGTGAAGTTCACAGACCGGACGCGAAAGCGGATGAATTCATCCACTTCCATGGGGTAGCGCACAGCGGGCTCTCCAGGTTCGTCACTGCTGTAGGACCAGACCCACACGTTCTCTCTGGGGTCGAACTCGGAGGGTGTTTGCAAAAGATAAGATGGCACAAAAATGTCATCGAAAAATCCCAAACTTATTTTGATGCCATTTTCGCTACATTGTTTGACTCTTCCTACCAGAACCTCTCCTATGAAAGGTCTGAACACCATCAAACGGAACGTGACCCTGTGGTGAGCCGCACCATCCGAGGGGTAAAGGTAAGCGTCACCGATGTCAACGAAATCATACAGACATACACCTAGCCCGACATTCATGACGATACGATTGGCATACTTTCGATCCACTTCCTCTGTCAAGACCTGTTGGTTTTAGGCGTGGGGAAGAATGATGGTAAAGTGGAGTGTCCAGACAGGGAGGTTAGACGACAGATGTTGCAAGGGACAAATCGTGAGTTGAAAACGCACCTCGATCTGGTTACGATTGAAAGAGGCCGGAGGAACTTTTATAGTGTCGCGGATTACAGCAAGTTGAAACATTGCCTATGGTTGCAACGAAGAGATACTTCGATTAGGGCAACAAGAATAAAACAAGATACTTTCCTTTTCCAGGACAGGCGATGAGAACGCACAAAATTTGTCGCAGCATCTTTTTTTACGGGAGCAGCACACACGAAGCGGACGAGTAGCACGCATAAGTTTGAAATACCTCCACAATGCCCTTGAGCACCAACAACGCTTAAATGGTGATAACAAGTGTCGCCAAATATGTAACGCTCATGCTCGTCACCCTCCTCGAAAGTTGACCACGAACATGATGACTTGATTTCCCTCGATCAAGTTTTCACCTTGCCCTAGCAAATAAAAAAAATCAAGAGCAAGGACAACATGATGCCAATAATTTTTGTTACACTCGTTGATATTCCGTCTGTATGACATGGATGCAACCACCTAACGTCTGCGTCCTCCCCCCCTGCTACTGCTGCCACGTCCCCTCAAGCCCGCGCTTTCAGACGCCCGACCCCGACCACCCGAATCGCCCCTTCCCCGCCTTCTCGAGGGACCTTGCGCTCCCGATGGCGCTGATGGTGCGCGTCTCACGCCTCGAGCCCCCTTCTCGGGGGACCCCTCGATGCTCCCGGCCCGCCCACTCGCGCTCCTCTGTCTGTTTGCCACGTATTTAGCATGCCGATTCCCCTTACTCGATGGCGACGCCCCCATTTTCCCAGACGACAAGCCAGAAAGCTTCCCACCGGACTCGTAGTCACGCTTCCGCGCTGACAAGGAGTCTAACGGCAAGCCCTTCGCTACAGCCGTCTGCACCGCAGAGGCAAGCACCTTGTCTCGTTTCGTGAGCAGGCTCGTCACTTTGCCTTTCGCCCCCATGCGTGCCGTGCGGCCCGAGCGATGCAGGTACTCGATGGGGTTCAAGGGGAAGTCGAACATGACCACATGCTCGACGAAGGGCATGTCCAGACCCCTGGACGCAATGTCCGTGCAGACCAGGAAGGAGACCTCGCCCGATTTGAACTTCTCCAGGGCAGCCGCGCGCTCCTCCGAGCGCATGTCCCCATGGTAGCATGCGGATGGAAGGGCCAGCTCCCGCAAGGCGTGTTCGGCCGCCCGGCAGCTCTGCACGGTGTTGCAGAAGATCATGGCCCGCTCCCCGTTTTGGCGCCCCTGACTGACCACGTCCAGGAGTAGCTGCACTTTGTCGCCGCCCTTGGTGTCGAGCATGATGTGCCGCATGGTCGGGAGGGACTTGTGCGCGTCTTCGGACTGAAGGAAGCGCGTCTTGGGGAAGTTTCCCTCCTCAGCCATCAGTCGCTTGACTGCCGGGGTCAGGGTGGCGGTCGCCATCAAGTACTGGACCTTCTCGCGCTTGCTCTTGGCCTCCAGGGGCACCATGAGCCGCTTCAAGTCCGGGCCGAAGCCGTCCTTGAGCATGGTGTCCATCTCGTCCACCACGACGTGCGTCACCTGGGAGAAGAAGACGTGGCCCTTCTCGTAGTGCTGCAGCAACCGACCCGGCGAGGCTACTACCAAATCCACCATCCCGCCCAGCCGCCGGCGCTGCACCCCGAAATCCTCTCCGCCGTGCAAGCCACAGGAGCTCAGCTTTATGACGTGGCTGAGGGACTTGATCACCTCCAGAACCTGCGTGACGAGCTCGCGGGTGGGCACTAAAATGAGGGCGCGAGGACGGCAGGTCTGTCGCTCTTTCCCCTCCACGGCCTCCTGCCACTTGAGCTCCTGCATGATCGGAAGCAGGTACGCCAGGGTTTTCCCAGAGCCTGTGGAAGCGGAAAATGCGACGTCGTCCCCTTTCAAAGCGGCGGGAATTGCAAGGCGCTGAATCACAGAGGGTTCCTTGATACCCAGCTTCCGCAGGCCTTCGAGAGTCTCCTCCCCCAAACCCAATCGACGAAATTCCGCCAGGTCACAAGCTGCGTTCTCGTCACCGCTTCGACTCGTTGTCTTTGACGGGATAGCTGGCGTGGAAAAGGGCTGGGAGGAGATGCCTCCAAAGGCCCCCATCATACGTAGCACTTCGCGAGAACGGCCCACTCCACGGGAGACCTTGGAGGCCGTTGATGGCCTTAAATGAAATGCACTCACGACGCAAACCGACCGCGTCCAGTGGGGAGAAAGTAAAAGCGGCATAGCCAGTAAAAGGGCACAGATCGACGGCGTCGTGCGGAATGCAAGACGCAGTCGACTCTGGAAATGAATGGCCCTAGTTGAAGTTGTGTTGTCGAACACTCAGTTAAAGGTTATTCCTTGATGTCCGACAACCCACAATGGCATCACTTTAATCCAGTCTTCCATATCAACGTGTGCGAGTTCGTGAAATTAAAGCACGAAAGACGATTGCACAAAAAATCGAACGGAGCTTACCTCGAAGCGGTGGTGGCTGTGTTGGGCAAGGCGCTGGCTATTCCCTCTCCCCCTGTCGTTCCTTCATGAAACACGCGCCGCATCCCAAGCGCCACTCCACGCACGCAGACCAAGAGAGAAAGATCAATGAATCAGCCCTGTGGCATGGTCAGACGGTGATGAGTTTGTGTATGCTACTTCAGGTGGTGACATACGGGGCCCCGACCCCCACGATCCGAGCTCCCGTTGGCAAGCTGTTACTACGGGTCGGCCCACAGGCGTACTGGAGAGGGTGAGGTGGCAATGGAAAATTGGTCACAACCATGGCGACGCGGGTTTTTGGGGTGACAAGGAGGGGCGGAAGCAAGCGCGACGGGTATTTAAAACTTGCCGGGGCCATGATATGTTCATCTGCCCGCTTTTTGCATGAGCTCAGTGCCTGTGCTGCTTGGATGGGAGGCGCAGGTACGAGGGTGTACGTCCTGCCCGCGTTATGTCACCTCACACTTTTCAGTCTCTCATCTTTTTTTTTTGTAAGAAAAAGGCAGAGACGTAGCTTTATTACAAGAGACGCAGTCATGAGGGTGGGCTTGCGTTCTCAGCCTTTATTTCTATCGGTGTGCTTGCTTCTCGGACTTGCAACAGGTACGTCAGAATGATGTTGGAGGATCTGATCTGGCAATGCCATTAAACTTTTTTTCCTTGCGAATGAGTGTGCGCATGCGTGATGAAGACCATATAACCATCAGGAATGTGTGTGTGATGCCTCTGTATTCTACTTGATTATGTCATGACACATTAGCGGCCCTGTAAGTGCGGCCTGTAACCGACGAGCTCTGATTCAATGATACCCTTTTTATGTGCAAACCGGCAAAAAATCTATTTCCTGCTTGCCATACACTCTACGCACAAGTGTGGTGCCATCATCAATTTTTTGGTCGCATATCAAGAAGGCTTTAGGAAAGCAAGTCGCCATCCTTTCCTCATGTCATCCTTTTTACGGACCTCTCTCCTGATTCTAAATCAGCCCTCGATACAGAGCCATTACAGTCATGCGCAGCCACTTTTCAAGCCGTGAAGTCATGTCTCCCCGCCGCCCCATCTTTTGTCCCAGCTTCATCTTCAGCCAACGACACCATGCAATGCTTGCAGGGGGCTATGGAGCAGCACGGAGGATTCGACGGATGTCTCGAGGGCACATGGGGCTTGGTTCGAGACTGTGCGCGAGAAGGGGTCAGAATGGGGGCTTGTTTGCAAAGGCACGATGTGTCGGAGCACTTGATTCCTGCGACGATGGGCTTCGCTAGGCCGGATGGAGGCCTCGGCGCTAGAGACAAAAACAGCACCTCAGCTTGTGGCCAGGCCCTAGAAGCTGCCTCACAGAGCCTCAAGGGTGCGGAGGCGGTGCTGGCAAGCGGGCGGGTCGCGTTGGTGTTCACAGTCTTGTCCAAACTATTCCAACAGCTGAACGAGACTGGCGTTCCACCCTCTTACCTCATCGGTGGCCACGTGCAGAGCTTCGGGGATGTCGACGCCTGCAAGGCTATCGGGGGGTTTCAATACTGTTGGATGCAACTGGACTTTTTGCCCTCCGTCCGGGCGGGGGTCTGCTTACCTCAAGAATGCTCCTTGGAAGACATGGCCAACGTGACTAATGTCCTCCTGCAGGCGGTGGGGGAGGCCAAGGGCCTGAGGCACGGGTACAGCACGGCTGGAAACGATACGGACGTGCCTGTCATCGATTTCGCGCACGTGCAGGGGCAATGCGGGGACTACCAATTTCCGGCAACAGCGGGGACCTGGATTATGTTGACCGTCACTCTCGTCCTGGTGGGGCTGGTCTTGCTCGGCACGTGGCTGGATTACCGGGAGCGGAGGGCGAGGGAGGAGGAAGCAGAGGGCCTGGATGAGGATGGGAAGGCGCACGACGACTACACGCGTCTTGATCAAGACGAGGAGTCGATGTTAGACGAGGACGTGGGTAAGACTGGAAAGCGGGACTGGGGTCAGGGAAGGGACGGTCGAAAGAGCGATCAGAAAGACGCCTGGATGGACCAAGAGGTGGAGAAGGCCCGCCTACTAGAGGGAGGACACTCAAGTAAAGGAAGCCGCGGGCACAACCAGCCCGAAGACCCGCCGCTCTCCCGTCGCCTCCTCTCATGCTTCTCCCTCTACCGCACATGGCCCAGCCTGGTCGGGCCTGCGCGCGAGGGACCGTTCAACGCTCTGGACGGCGTGCGTGTCTTCAGCATGTCTTGGGTGGTACTTGGGCATCTCTTCGTCTTTCCCGTGGAGCTGACGTCCTACACGAATGAGGACGCGATCCTGCCCCCTGAAGGTTTGTTGACCACTTACGCAGGTCAGGCCATCATTTCCGCGGAGTTTAGCGTGGATACTTTCTTCTGCATTGGTGCCTTTGTTGCTGCGTACGCCCTGACTAAGCACCTTCAAATAGCTTTGGCACCCGCGAGCCTTCCGGCGCCTT